GGAGAATGAGCCGATGTATTATGCATATTAACGACAACTATATTAAATCAGGAGTCTGAAAAATCTTAGTTGTGGTGGGGAAAAAAGTATGTAGTTACTAAAAATAAGTTACTTTGGCACAGATGACGCATAGAATGGTATCGCAACGATAAAAATTTATAATCATCTTGACCTGTTTCTAAAACATGCCCTCGAGAAGTTTAATTCTGGCTGCTGTAGTGCCAATGTTCATTTTATGTGAGTGTGGTGAAAGCTTCACAGGCAAAGCTGACCAGAACGCGATAACGGATTCCTTTTGGCCTGAGTTTATGTGAACTTATTATGATATTCAAGCTGACAGTCCTCTGGACGCTCTCCTTCTACTCTATGTTAAAACGTGCTATTTCCGTACGCTTCTTTTCACACTCCGTGATAATGGTAAATCAAGATATTGATCTAAAATCATTCGATTTTCACATAATTACGATAATTTTTCACAGAATCGGAAAAGAAGGAAGATGAACAGAGGGCTGAAAGCAAACATCTATTGATAAGACTCTCTAGACATGAGAGGATGGTCCGTGCAACGTTAGGTGAGGCTCGAGAACCAAATCAATTAATAAATATGCTAATATCGCATTTTTATAATATTTCAAACAAAAACGTATAAGCAAAGATATGAATACCAGGATGTTGCAGCCTTTGTATGGTCGCGGTCTCCTCTTGTTGTATAGAAGTTGTTTGACCTTGTTTCGCAACCTGGTCATATTGACAGGAAGACCTGGAGCCCATAATATGCATGATAAAATTCCAGAGTCGGACCATGGACTTGGTACACTCCCAGACGTTTCGCCGGCATCGTCAGTGCGTCCTGACAGTCTCAGCAAGCAAGCTACAACTCGTCAAAGAGACAAGTGAAGTCGATCCTTTGACCAATTATGTGCTAAACAGTTGTGTCCTGGACTATTCACCTATCCTATATTCTCGTATCATCTCTTCAATATCATAATTCCCTACTTGTTTATTTAAACCTATTTAAAACCTATTCACACTTCCCGCTAACTAGAATGGCCACCACCGTTTATTTTTCTCTTCTATCCCTAATGCCAATTCTACCACTTTATATTGCGTGCCGACCCCCAAATGTGATGCCTCTACTTGATTTGAATAGAGTCAAGAAGAAAAATCAGCCCACGGAACACCAAAGACTCTGCAGAAGCATGGACACTGAAAGATTCAAAATAGCGGAACACAACGTACGGAAGGGACATAAAATCGAGTGGAAATCGACAGAAAGACTGGCTACATAGGGTGGAAATACAAGAAAAGGCAAGATACGAAAAGCCATTGATATCCTGACTGAAATAAACCTAATGAAGAGGAGACTTGGAGAAGACAGGATTAGCGAAAACTTTGCATACTACCTAAACAAACTCGGATAAAATCAGGGAATAGCAATATCAGCAAAAAGAAGACGACTGGATAATATTAATATTTTTAATTTTAGTAAAAGAAATGACAAATAAACCATAGGAACAATCGGAAATCAAGAGAAGACGTCTACAGTTAGTCTATTAAAATCAAGTAGAACCATCAAATTTGGGGTTCAGCATGCAATAGAAAGTCATAGACTTGGCATTAGGAATATAAGAGCGAGAGAAACGGTGGTGACCATTTCTAATTGGCTATTAGTAGATAAGTTTGCTCATAGATGTGGTTTATAAAGTAAAGGCCTAGCAACAAGATTTACTCAGTTCACATGCCGCATAGCGATAATGGAATCTGCAGCATCAAACTAGGTTTCCATGCTAATTGAGAATCCAGACTTTAGGGGCTTGCTCAGTATACGTGTATACGTGCTAACAAAGGCTTGAGGCAGAGTGTAGAAAAACTCCTTGGGTAGCACGGATACGGTAACAGCAATGGTGTAAAATCACTGTAGCAAGCAGATAAGGAGGAGCAAGAGGGGACTTTGACAGGACCCGAAGAGATAGGATTGCGGATTAAACCTCAGACTTGTATCAACACTCCCGGCACAGTGGGATAGATGTGGAAACTAGGGGGTAGTGTGAATGAGTTTCAAATAGGTTGAGATAAACAAGTAAGAAATAGTGATATTGAAAGGGTAATGGGAGGATATAGAATGGGTGAATAGCCCAGGACAGGAGAGATACTACAGCTATTTAGCACACAATTGGTCAAAGGATCGAATTCACTTGTCTCTTTGACGAGTTATAGCTTGGTTGCTGAGACTGTTAAGATGCATTGACGATGCCGGCGAAACGTCTGGGAATGTACCAAGTCCACGGTCCGACTCTGGAAGTTATCATGTATGCTATGGACTCTGGACAAGGTGAGCTCTTCTAGATCTTCCTGCCAATATGACCAAGTTGCGAAAATAAGGTCAAACAACTTGTAAAATGGTATAAGATTTATTGAAAACCGACCAGAGCCAGGCTAGTAAGTGGATACAAATTTAGTTTTAGCAATAAGGGATGCAGAGATATTAGGTCATGATAAACGAGGAAATTCAAAGAGTATAAAACATTAATTTTCTAGTTGCAATTTGGCTGCATACCAAATAAACCTTAATACGAGGGGAGATATTGATGAGGTTGCAATGAGACTGAGGATGAAGTAATTTTAGAGTGGGAATCCCTTTAAATTTATGGAAAATTTCTGAAAAATATCTCAACTCATCAGCATCCTATGGATACGCTCAGACAGTGCTTAATGGTCCCAATGAAAAAAATATTACAGTCTCTACCAGCAAGTTTCTATAGCCTTAATGAGAGATTGATAGAATAAGAATACTCTGGATAGTTTATTGCCA